CAAAAATTTCGGAGAGTAGAGGGCCATGCAAGACGGGCACATTCCTATGGATGGGTAGGCTTCATCAGACGGTTACCTCTTGTCGCGAGAATACAACGAGTTTCTCCTCGTGAACGTCATGGATCTGAGCTCCACTGTCTAGGGAATCGTGGTTCTCCCTGCGTTCCCGGGGACCCAACGTTCGATCGATACATTAATGGGTATGCTCCAATGGACAGACCTGCTCTGATAAACAGGCGCGTGCCCAGGAATTTTTTCCGTGGGGGGGGGGGCAGGGCCATTGTTTAGGTAGGGGCTAACTACCGATGATGAGCCCCAACATGGAACTCTATGGGCCAGGAAGAGATCTTGAGGGGGGCCATGGCCCCTAGCCCCCACCCCCTCGGCACGCCACAGCTGATAAATGATGGGGAGATCGAAATCAGAGCAGCTTTCCCTCATATTATTCGAAATGTGTAGATACGGTCTGTGAGCGCTGGCGCTATTGCGATATGCGGGAGATTCGTGGGCGAGAATTCTATGTGTGTTCCAGGACGAGTCTCGTTCCAGCATCAGGTGCGTCTCCCTTTGTCGAGCCTAACGTCTTCCAGGCGCGAGCTTGACTGCGCCTCTTGATTTCTCGATCTAATCTCCATCGCCCAGCGGCGGGGTGCTGCGAGTGGGGGAGCCCCGAGTTCGATTCTGCTCTGTGAGATTCTTGATTCTGAATATGGCTCTCATGGTCACGGGATGAGCTCCGGACTCAGAAACGATTTCCCCCATGACAGTTTATTGAGCTCGCAGCCCTTTCCTCTTGCCCCGCTCAGCTGGGAAAAACTTCTTACTCCCACTGGAGAACTCAGTGTGTCTGCCTGCCGTGTTGTCGGTGGAGCACGGAAAATTATTTCCCTGCTACCAAGAAGGAGAACCACGGAGGAAATTCTACAGAGCTGCCTCCAAGAAGCGGTCTTTGTGAGCTAAGTCGCTGGCACTCTGCCATGAACGTGATCACGTGATCTCCTGACTTACTACGCTGAAGCTCGTGGCGCAGAGAAATTGTTCGTCCAGAGGCCCCGCGCGCCGTGAGGAAGCTCTGGCAGAAAGACACGAACACTCGCTCCGAGAACATTCGTTGGATCGAAACTTGGACGATCCAAATGGCCAAGATGGCTCAGGGAGAACTGGGCTTTCGGAGTTTCCGGAGCGAAACAAAATCACGTAATTTCGGTTGACGATGTGCTTTTATTGTACGATGCCTCTCATTCACATACAACCTACGCGATAAAAAAGCTGACTCGAACGAGAGCGAGGCCCCCCAGACATGGCACGGGGGTCGAGATCCTTGCGAAGGCTGACACGGCCCCGCAACTTGTGGGACTCCATCGTGTCGCCCGCGCCAGCCAGACTACGGGTCCAGCGACGGGTGAAGCGAAGAGCGAACGATGTCGGTCCCCTCCTGACCTAGATTCGGGTATCCTCGAGCAGATAGGACGAGCCCATGTCGACTTTGCGCGTCTCTACGTCTGCGATACCAATCGAACTCGTATTCGTTCCTTTAATACGCCAGATCGCGGAAGTCTCGTGCGGTCTCGAACACTCCGATATCAACAAGTTATCGAACGAAGCTCTAATAGTAAGGGATCGAGACTAGGGGGATTCAGCGAATTTTATTGCTTGCTATCTCGAGGTTCTGCTGCGGACGAACATGCGCGCAAACTCAGACAGGCCCAACGATGCTCACCGTTTCTGAGAGCGGAGTCTTGGCTGCTGACCCCGAGCCCCAATTAAAGCGCTGCAGATGACCAAACGAGTCTCGAAGCAGTCACAGGCGCAATTTTTCGACGGGACCGTCAGATTTTCGAGAGCAATCGAGTTCCCCCAATTTTTCCTTCTCGTCAACGATCGAGCGCTGAGCAAGAGTCCTCAACAGAGGGGTTTTCGACGTGGAGAGTGTTTGAGGGGGGCGGTCCTCGACGCTTCAGCTACCTGGAAATTCAATAAAGAGTCGAAAATCAACTGCGCGAACCGTGGGGGCTGGAGGCGGAAGAAGGATTCTCGCCATGGAGCGGGAAGGCCGAGTCTCGCGAAACGCTATGAATAGATTATTCGTATGCGAAAAGTCACTCGAATTTCGGACTCGAGGCTCGGCGACTCAGGAATGGGAGAAGCCAAAGTCTTGCTCCCTTTGACCGATCACAGCGCGATTGCTTCCTTCATACATATGCGACGAGGAGCGGGTTTTTTGTCCCGCGAAGCCATGATGTCATAGAGCATCAAGTGACCATCGATATATTCGGACCAGTCTAATCAACCAGATTCGAAGTGTACGATCCGCAGGCAAATCCGAAACGTTGCATCCGACGCTCAAAGATGTCCAGATGGACGCTGTCATTAGTGTTTCCCTCACGTCAATAAGAGAGAGAGAATTCCACACGGGATGTGTCGGGCCGGACACGTCCGGAAATTTGAAATTCTACTCATCGGCCTTTCTGCTCTTGAAACCCCAATGCTCTGCTCACACGCTCGCCTATGATTCCCTGGTTAGTGGATCTCGGCGAAAAGACGAATCTCCATTGGAGGACAGTGTGAGAGCCCGAATCCGGAATGAGGTCATCTTATAGACGAGGCTCGAGCCATCGAATGATTCCCCCGAGCTTCCGCATAAGATCGCGTCAGCGACTACCCTACTCGTTAGAGGGAATTAATTACGGAATTTCGAAGGCAGGTGTTGACCCACTCCGAATATCGGCTCTCCTCGGGATAAATGCCAGCGCTTATTTATAGCATCCGAATGCTAAGTGAAGGAGAAGACGCAATATTCCATCTGAATTTCCCGAGTTCATCGCCCATGAATCCCGTCGGGAAGACACTTCCTTGCCTCCGGGTCTCTGGCGCTAAGCTCGAACGCAGACCGCGAATCCCTCGCGGGAAAAGTGAGCTGATGAAGACGACAGACATTGCGAGTCGCCTGGCCTCTCGCTCCGTCGCGTCGTCTGTATCCGCCACTCTACCGGAATTGATCTATTCGAGCCGCCTCCGGGAGAGAATTAAGACTAAACTTTTTATTTGATTGGACCCAGCATCTGTGAATTCCTTTTCGCTTTATCGGAAGCAGAGTTCTAGAGGCACCCCGACTAGGCGGAAGTAATTCAGAGCGCGTAGATAGCTTCGTCCATAGCTTCCGACTTTCGAGAGCTCAGACATGGTCATCGGGACAGACTCCGGGTTGGCTTCCTCGGGACTCTCCGCGTCCGCGGGACTCGAAACGAATCCAATGGCCAGTATTTCCGTCGCACCTCCTATCGATCAAGGATTTGAGCGTGTACCATGGAAGGGAAAAGTAGGTACCTACCTGCAATAATTCCATCTCTGTCTTCCAGGGAGAAATCGTGCAATGTGGTTTGATCCGAGAGAGCGTGAGGATGCGAGCCGACCGAGTCTGAGGCAAGTATCGATACCAAAAGAATAAATCTCGTCACTGACTAGCTCAGCGGTATCGTTCCTCGGGCAGCAACGCCTTGGCGACCCTCATCGAAAAGTCAATAAAGCATGATTAAGGTTCGACGCAGATGAAAATACAATACATGAGCGCCTGTGGTATATCGTTTTAGTGATAACCGGATTTTGTGGGATATCGGGAAAAATCTCACGCCTCTGCGATTCTGCGTCAGATTTGCTGCATCAGGAAGCCTTCGGGGCATGCGGGATTCGTTCCGCTTTGTAGGAGATACAAACCAGGCGACAAACTCAGTGTCCTCCCCTTCATGGAGATATCATTCCGGGAGGCTCGAACGCATCACTCCGCACACACGGATCACACCTACTTATCACCGCCGCCGTCGTCGTCATCATCATCATCACCACCATGATAATCATTTATGTCTGGTTCTCTGATGGAAAAGGCAGGCGTCGCGATCCGACGAGATCCGAGCCTAGTAACCGTTCCCTGAGCGTCCCTGATTCTCGTCGTTGCCGAAATACTACGGAAGAATCCGACTGTTTGCCACCGACAGAGTCTCCCAAGTTCGGAAGGATACGCGGCGCAGCGCAAATTCCCAAAAGCGCAAACACAGGAAAGATTTCGAATCAAAGCTCGGCTGCAAACTCCAGAACACGCCGAGACATTTCGCGGCGGTGCGAAACACAACTGAGAGGGACATCGGAGGCGAAGAGAGACTCGAAACACAAACACCCACACATACACACCTATTTCCTGTCGAGGAGCAGCAGTCAATCGGCCTTCATCCCGACAGAAAATAAAGTTGTTTTCCTCACCGCCCGGTGGCGAGTTGACTTTTTCGATCACTTCAAGTGCCGCGCCGCCTCGTCGAGAGTGCTGAAACTTCCATGTTATCCGTTCTCGGCTGCCTCGCAGAACAGACTCGACTCCCTCGTGAAGTCGACTATGTGATAAGATTACGGAAATTCCTTGTCTGACAAGAGCTTTCCGCCGCCTGGAATCGCCGGGACTCCGAAAAGGATGAATTTCGTCGTTCTGGAAGCCCTCACACACGACATCCTCGCTTGCCGCCGCCGCCGCCTTCTCAATCGAAAGTCGACTGAGTCTACGCCTCTCTCGACCACACGGACGAAGAGGGGAAGGGGGGAGTCGAATTCGATCACTCAATGCATATTTTCCGCGACCGGTGGGAGGTTTCTCGCAAACTCGTTCCGAGACGGCCGAGAGACTACGCCTGCTCGTAGTTTATATCGAGTCCCTTTTTTTCATGGTCAAGGACTCGATTCACTGTATCCGGCGAGGACGGCAGTAAAAAGACTGCAATTTTCTTAATAGTCTTGTCCGCTGGGCTACGCGAGAGTCGGACCGCGGCGTCCCTGACTCTGTGTGTGGACGCGTAGGCTCTCAGGAAAATCCGGCTCCCCTCTGACTCACGAGTCAGGATCATTATTTCGTTCCAGGCCGAAGCGAGGTTGGAGCCATGTTTGATTCGACAAACATCAGCGGCGTCGAGGTCGCCGCGACCGCTCTGAGCAACGTATCCCTGCGGAAACCTCCGAGGGAAGGAGATGACATAGAAGTTTATCTGCTCACCGAACTCGGTCCCAGATCTCTGCCGCTGAACTGGCTCATTCCGTTGACTGCCATCTACACGTTCATCTTCATCACGGGTGAGCCGACCCTTTTCATAATAATCAGACATTCGAGTAGAAATAATGAATTGCGGACTCCATAAGGATCTCAAACCGATGCGGCGAGGAGCGCGACGGTTCGATCTCCACGATGAACTCCTCCGTGTTCTCAGAACTTGAAAGAACAAGACGATCGAAAATAGCGTTGGAACGAACACACAGACGTAGACGATATTACGATTGTAGGGGAAGATCTTACGTTAGAACGTGTCGTAGAAAAAGGCTTCCTGGAACGCCCTCAACTAAAGCAGGTTCTCGTAGCGATTCGCGTCGAGAGCCTCGTACGTCTCGTGCGACCCTGTATCCCACGTCTCGAAGCGCCTTGTCACGTTTCGGATATTGGAGAAAATGATGTCACTCTCGCAGCTGCTGGAGCCCGGTGATAAAAGTCCGTTTCCATCATATTTTCCAGGCATCGTCGGCAACGTATGTACATGCATGGTTATTGCACTGAACGCCTACATGCAGACGGCGACCAACTGCTACCTATTCAACCTTGCGATAGCTGACATGCTGACCTTGTTATGTGGTAAGTGGAGATTCTCCGTCGCTGCACTCCCGGCGCGGCGCGCTCTTCTCCTTCCGAACGAAGTTCTCCCAAGCGGAAGCGTCGCGATTAGCTCGCTCCGGGCTCAGCGATTCGTTGCCCGTGGGGGAAACCGGAATCCGGGAAATGCGCTCGTCTAACTCGTCCCATTTGGTTCTAGCGATGCCGATGGAGCTCTACTCCTTCTGGCATCAGTATCCGTGGCAGCTCGGGAACACGATGTGCGACCTCCGTGCCCTCGTCACGGAGGCCAGCGCCTACGCTTCCATCTTGACGATTGTCACGTTCAGCACGGAGAGGTACGTTGAAATAGACACCGTATCATCAGTGACGAGCTTGCGAATTCGCTGTTCCGCTAAACTCGCTGTGTGTGTCTTATGGTGTGCTGAGGGTCTGGAAGAAGAGTGAGCTGTACGATTGTTCGAAGAGCTTCATTCAGGACTCTCACGTTGTTCCGTGAGGCGAGAAGCTTTGGCGTAGACGAGCTGTTCAAAAGCGAGATGTTGTTCTCGCGCCTCGGCTGAGCTCCAAACCCCCTTCCCCCCTCCCCTGGTCTTTGTGGCGGAGCTGTCGGAGGAGTGCAGCCACCGAGCACTGCTCGAGGCACATAAAATCCACAAGGGTCTTTTTTGCAATTTTTTTCGAAGACGCTGCGCATAAACGTGAAACTTCATCGGGGAACCGATTTTCTTCTATGCCCTTTGTAATCTCCTCCTATATGTCACCGAGTGCAACATTTCGGGGCTAGCGATGAGGAATAGCGAATCGTGGTCTTGCATCAAACGATTTCGTCTTTTCGGAGAAATAGCCCCTGCAGTCAGACGACCTAATGGAGAAGAATCCTGCGCGTCGAGGAAGCTCACAGCGAGAGAGTCCAAATCGAGTCTGAATCTCGTGAATTGTTCTTCTTGGAGGAAAGATCTGGGGATTATTTTCAGAGAAAGTTTTTGCTGAGGAAAGACGGCATGAGAACAGTCGCGCCACGCTATTCAGAATTCTGAGCGCCCGATGCGACCGACGCCGACGTGGAAGTCTAATTGAGTTCGAGAGTCACATCTCTCGGGAACACCTAGTTTGTATTAGTCTCCCTACTGGAGAGCCTTCGAAAGTCTGTGCTTTCCAGGAAGCTGTCGTGTTCGTGGTGTTTCTCCCCTTTCATCAATCCATACGAGCTCGTGAATAAAGTGGAGGCACAAAAAGCTTTGATGAACGAAAGCTTTTTCGACGCAATTTTCTCTTTGCTGCGCCCCTCGCCGCTACTTCTAAGCGTGAAACAAGCAGCATCTTCAGAAACCTCCACACGACCGGGAAAAAAGTTGAGGAAGCTTCTGCTCCTGTTCCCGCGAGCGAGCCCTAACATAAGAGACGCAGATCGCGAGGGTGGACTCAGTTGCAGAGCTGAGGCTCCCTCGCACCGCATCCGGAGGTGCACCCGACCGAGCCTATTGAAATTTCTCTTTCAGCTCGATCGATTTCAGCGGGATGGCTCAATGTGAACTGATTTAGGCGGAAGGTATCATCATCGCTCGCTGAACTGCGATCGAGGTTCGGACGGGGCTACAGTTCGGGAGAAATCCAGAATCGCCGGGAAAATATAGGGTTGTGTCATTTTCCAGCACAAAAACTCGGATCGAATAGAACGCTGATGTTGCTTCGTTCCGACATTCGAATCCACACACAGAAGAACGAGTGCCCGGATTTTATTCTTCGGCAGAGCCCCCAGCCTACGCGGATAGGTTCTTTCAGCGGGCCATTAATCCGGGGAGCGATATATGGCTCCATAATTGTGGAGTACATCTGGGAACGGTGTGTATTGGTGTCTGAGCGCAGAACAATGGCTTGAAAGCAGATCGTCGGCGAGTGCTCGTGGAATTGACCGAGTCACCAACGCGTCAACTCGGTTGAATCGTGTGCTCGGGCGACCTTGGCGCGATTCGCATTGAGTTTCCAGTCACGTGATATCGTGGCGCTTGACGATAAGGAAATCGACTGCCCATTCAACGTTCACGGGCCGTGTGTATGTTCTGTCGACGGCGATCCAGGGGAGCTTCGCCCGTTACCAATAAACACCATCAGGCCTTATCCGAGTCGTATGCTTCGTTCGATCGGTCGGCCACAAGCAATACCAACTAACTCTTCCTATTCCTCGCTAAAAGCGAAGTATGTTCCACGCAAGCGGGCTCTCGGCCACGCTTTGTTTGCTTTGGCAGGCTAATTCAGAGAAAGACTTTCAAACACAGGGATGAGCCAGCGGTGGTTTACGGTCGAGCTCGTCTTGACGAATCGGTTCGAGGCTTCATCCTTCAGGTGGAGCCCTTGTGTTCCCAAGAGCAGCTTCAGAAGAAAATCACGTCCGACCGTTTGATAAATATTGCTGCGATATATCTGCACGGGGAGACCTCCAGTCGAAATCAAGGACGGGTCCCCTGAGTCAGGGGAAATTCGGATCGACCCACTCGGTCGAAGAACTAAGGAGGAGGGATATAACATCTCACATCGTATCCCAGTCTTGATAATAATAGTTCAAAGGGGCAAGCCCGGAATCCTTATTAGATGTATGGTCCTTGATTATAACTCTTGAAACCTTCCAGATACATCGCGATCTGCCATCCAATGCACCAACCGACGAAGTCGAAGATCACCCGAGCTATTCGGAACATTGTACTGATCTGGATACTCTCAATCCTGGCAGCTTCTCCTTTCACATTCTTCACCGGCGTGAACTTTCTCAAATATGAGTAAGTTGCCCTTACCTTGGCGGTATCCGAGAATATGGGTCTCCTGTGCACTTTGACCTCGGCGGCAATGAGCCGCGTCTTCGCTCCGCCTATACCAACAGCTAGTATTTCAGCACTTTACAATAGACGCATACGAAGTTTACGAGTTTCCACAGATTTTCTCCCTCAGAATGTTTCAAAGCGTTTCGGAGGAAACTCTCGCTCGGTCTCTTTAGAAAGCTTTCAACAAGCTATATACAGCCGGGGCGAGCGACCTGTACACGAAATTCTTCTCGAATTGTTTTATGGGCTCGGCTCCACGGCCTAGGGTGGAGCTTGGACACAGCCGTAGAACTTCTAAAAGTCGCAAAACCGACAAGATCGCCCTGCTCGCGTCCGAATTCGGGGGAAGGGGGGGGGGGGGTGGCACTCGGAGAGACGAACGATTCGCTCAGGGTGATAAGTGATAATCGTACGCCTAGAATGATCGCCATCGACTTTCTGTCATGGCGATCTCCGAGTTGTCCGGGATCCCGAGACTGAGTTGGCGAGGAACCGTGACAAAGTTATTATTTCTTATCGGGCCGCTCGTACTCTCGTTCAGATGCGAAAATTATATCGTCACTCCCTACTGAACTGCTACGACTCATGGCGTGAAAGAATTCATCTGAGCGAGTCGCACGACATCAATTGATTCGTTTTTCGGTGACAATGGGCCTAACGTTTCTAGGCGTCCGTCTCTTTCGCGCCGCTCCTATCCTTTTCTCTTTCAATGCCGTCGGCGGTCTCACACACAGTCAGTTGTATTAGTGTCGCAATCACAGACCGCTGTAGTCGGCCATCATCCGGGTTATGGTCTTGCGTTCCTCTCAGACAGCCTGCTCGGCCAGACTGCCCGTACATTGCGGGTCGTCATCAATTGGGTTATTTTTAGCGAACGAAAGTCGTTGTGAAGCGGGAGAAAAAACCGTGCATTACTTCAAGTTCCTGAACCACTCAAAAGGGAGACGCTCTGCCGCTTCCCTCATTCTCGGCATGTTTCTGACGGGTGTTTTCACCTGCTGCTCCGGACAAAAATCGTGGCTCACAAAGAAAACAGCCGCTTGTGCTGAAATAGAATTTGAATCTGACGATGATGCGTCTGGCCGAAGGGGTCAGCGAGCCTCGGCAAACCAAACATCTTTTGATCAGAACTCACAGCGTAAGTGGAGGAGCTGGAAAACATTCTCGGGATCCCCACTCTGTTGATTCCACGGTCAAAGTATGCAGAACATCTCCATAAAACACCGCGCTCGAATAGGCTTCGTAGAACGTAAGTGTTCGATGAGCCGTCAGCTTAATCGATTCAAGTGAGAATGCAATTCACGCGAGCATGTCTGACACACATACGTGACAAGGCATAATTAGAAAGCCCGAGCGACTCTGTCTGCTCACCCCGAGGGTTCCGCGCGGAGGGGCACTTAACGGTTGAGATGACGGAATACGGTGCGGCATTCTGTCGAGCGTGTCCTTGCGGTACTTCATCCTACAACATTCTCGCTCGAATGCAAATGCGATATTTCTGGGGATACAGCGCCGTTTTTGCTGCAGTCGTCAGACGTTTTCCGACAGGAGAATCTAAGAAAAGAAGATATATCTATGTACACGCACATCTCCCTCGGAATCGCTATCCCAAACAGTTTGATCTGTCTCCGCAAGCATCGATGACGGGGTCATTCTTAAATCCGAGGATCGCAAGACCGAACCCTTGCGACTTTTGCTCAAAATTTATTCCCTTCCAGTTCCAATAAGCCGATAGCGGCGTCGGCGTGGTGTGGGCTTCCTTTCAACGAGCCGAACCGCTCGTGGGAGATTCTGCTCCTCTGCTCGACGTTTGTATTTTTCGTGGCACCTCTGTCGATCATCCTCGTACTGTACTTACGAATCGGATTGGCTCTCCACAGAACGCTCAAGGTGAGTCGACCAGAGTCTAATACTGAAGAATTCGCACTCGATTCTCCCGAATTGATTCTCGGCGCTCTCAGCATTAACGGCGTTCGGCGAATTCATACTTATGGGTGGGGTAGCATTCCTGTCAATCAGACAATTACCTAAACAGAATTGTCTTCGCCATCATGGGATGCGGCAAATAGCACTGTCTCTCGGGAGCAGCGGATAGCCACGGTCCCGGAGAGGCTCGGCGTCCTGCATCAATATAACGCAGGAACTGATCCAGAGCAGTCGCGAGGCTGCGATTGTTCCTAAATCCCAACCTCGACGTGAACCTCCTCGAAGGCTGCGCGAGACGAGCCTCCTGTATCGACAGCATCGTCGTCCGCTTCCGCAGCGGGGAAGACCAACGTCCTGGAGTGGGTACACATATCACTCCAGGACGAGGATCAGAGGATATTCTCATTTAAGGAACTCATAGATGAGTGATACCGAGGACAGACTTCTTACTTGTTCGATCCGAAACCAAGAGCGCAACGGTTTCTTCCGAAACTTTCCGACAAGGGAGAATGCCGATTCTTGGAGCCGCGGCAGCGAGTGACCTTCTCGAGATTCGTGTGATGCATAATAGTTGATTGGTAAGCACTGGTGCTGGCCTCGTCGCCAGAGCCGATCCGTGAAGTCATCCGAGACCGTCGGAGACTACTAAGGCGTTCAAAACCTGTCCTGCAGCGCGGCGGTGGACACCCGCGAGTAGGCCTCCTACTTCTCGGGTGTCCCGCAGCCGGAGAACGGAGGAGACTAATCTCGAACTTCGAATTCCCGACGGTTAGCTGATACACCGAACGGTGGCAACTGCAGTCTACCTGACACCACAAATATCCCTCGGCTTCGGGTTCGTAGTCCGGATCCGACAAAACGGACGGCGCGGCTCCATCTTGACTGCGCGCACTTCCCTCACACAGTATGAGGTCATTTGATCAAGGCCTCGAGATCCGCGAGGGAGCGTATTCGGGCGCGGAAATCTCTCACGTAGATGAAGTGAGATATCCCTTCGAGAGATCAGATGGGTTCTGAGCGAGGTAGCTCGGTCGAGACTCCTGGGCTGATGCTGTTTCTTTATGGACTTTCTACGTGATGACTGTTCCCGCTTATCGGCGCACAAAAGACTCAGCGGAGAGGTTCTGCACCCCGTATAGCGATTCAGCTCGAGCTCGTCTGGATCTCGGCTCGATAAATCCAAGCTGTGACAAATCGTCCTCCATAGACATTCTCCATCGACTCTACCGGAAGAATGTTCAGGAATCTCCGGGCATATCCCGGCGAAGTACAGAGCATTGATAGGAAATGCAGTCGTTACATGCGTCGCATACAAAGAAACTCTCGGCACAATTCGGAGCCGCCATCGGAAGCGGTTTTGAAGCGTCGATCGCAAGTATTCCTCTGAATGTCTGATCGGTGGTTGGTTGACAGCTGCGCCCGCATCGGGAAGCCTTCCGACCGAGGACTTCGAGCACGTCTCCCTCGCTTCACCCCTCGGCGTCACGGTGTCCGCGGTGGAAGTCCGACTCCTCGCAGGGGAACGCGTCTCGTCCCCAGGGACTTCGAGGAGATGCGGCTCTCGATCGCAGCCCGCAGCTTAGAATTGTTAAGAGACAGTAATCGACAGGACCTCCAATCGAGCTCCCGGAGCATCTCAAGCAATACGGCGTCTATCGATTGTGAAGTGCGGTCCTCTCTCCGGAGTTCCACCGATCCGGACTCAGTCATGAGCACTAAGAAGTTTCGGTAGATATCGTCAGTGGTCCGCGGGATAAGGGGTTTACCTCCATCTCTGTACATGCGAAAGGTCGAGTATATATGTATGTGGCCACAATGACTAAACTTTGCTCTCGACGCTGGACTCAGTCGGCTTAGTGCGTCCAGCAACATTCTATTTATGCATTCCACGGCACGTTACGTGCACGGAGTCCTCATTGGGCTCTTGTGAATGGGCCGGCCGTATTCGTGCGTTCGGTTCCATTTTTCCATAGTGAGAGTTTGGGAGGCTTCCAGCGGCCTGCGTCAGAGATTGCCAGTGGACGCAGCGGAGGAACTCCTCGAGGGAGACCGAGGAGGCTCGATATAAGCTACGCATTATGCGAGGGAATTGCTCGAGTCCGATGGAAATGGGGTGACGGAATTAAATTTGAATTTTTTCGAACAGGTCCATAGATCACATTACGGGGCGTCGGACTACAGCGCAGGGCCTCACCAGTGTCAGTCTCGGTATCATAGAAGCGACGGGGAAAGGTCCAAGAGCCGTCGAGCCGTGGTTCGGATGTTGGGTGAGTTTCTTCTCGATGCTCGTAGCCTGAGGGTGACTTTTCCGTGGGGAATATTCGTCGTCTTTTCTCTTTATCCTGTCCTTTCCTGAGACTCGCCCCGGTGCAGGCTGGAGTTGGGCCCTGGGTTCCTTCTTCCAAGCGTATTCCGCAGACTCGATCGAATGTTCTTCCCCGATTACTATATCGTACAGCCCTCGTTGGAGCCGCAGTTCATAAGAGGCTCTATTTTTCACGCGATGCAATACATTCCGCTCTCGAGTCTCGGGAATCGACGGTTTTGAACGACGTTCCTTCCCTCGTATTTTTCCCTCGTGATGCGTTTGTTCCATTCGCGATAAAGACGACGGAAGCGTGGGCAGCCTGCCTTTGGAGGCGGCTTCACTTATTGGAATTGTTACGTGACCGCTCGTTTTTCCAGCCGCGGTCGTCATAGCCTTCTTCGTGTGTTGGGCTCCGTACCACTCACAGCGACTACTCTTCCTCTACGTATCCCTGCACGGCCACTGGACAAACACTCTGAGGGACGTGAACCAAAAACTCTTCCTGCTAGCCGGTGAGTTGCTTCTCGTGTTCTCTGCAATGTCCCTTAGCAAATGATTAAGAGCCCGGGAAGGTGGTTATTCGTTCGTAGGAAGCATGCTCCTTACTCGACTAAGGAAAATAAATGGTGATCGTCTTTTCATCGTTCCAGGGTGTTTCTATTATATGAACTCAACCATCAACCCGATACTGTACAGCATCATGTCAAACAGATTCCGCGTAGCGTTTCGAGAGAAACTCTGCCCGCCCCGTTTTGGGTGCTGCTCGTTATTCCGCCAGAAAGTGAGTCAGACCCGCACAACCTTCCGGCAGAGGGAATTCGGGAATTCAGTCTGTGGGCTAGCCAACAAAAAAAAAAACTTATGGACCCGGGGGACCACAGTCCCGACAATGCTTCGGCTAGAAAGTCTCGTTTGCGACTCCGAGCCCGGCGAAGCTCGACGCAGTCAGAGGCTTCAGAATCAATGTTTTAAATCTGATGTAGCGAAAAGAAAGGAGTTCCCGCATTCAAGTCTTTGGTTTCCTCGGCACTTTCACTCGACCACTTCAAACGAGCGATGCACTGAGGAACAATAGTAATGAGGGGCCTTCGTTGATTATAGGGCGAAGACAGCACCGGGGGAGGAGGCGGAGCTGGCGGAGGAGGGGGAAGAATCCGCAGTGGGGCAAACGGCTACAGAGCTCATTCGGCGAGTTCTCAGCACAGCGGAGCAGCGCAGAATCCGTCGAGACTGAAACACGCGTCCAAGCAGCACACGACGCCCTCGGTCAAATGGACCTCCAAGCAAGACAACAATCAAGACAGTCATGGAAACAACCACATCAAAGTTCCAATCATTCGCAAATATAGTTTATCAGGTAAGCTAGGAAAGGTAAAAGAGAAGCATCGACAGGCGCTGCTGAGCCTCCGGAAGAACCGGCGTCGGTTGTCTCGGAGTTTCCCATTCGTGCGAATGAACTTCTCGATTGAGCTTGACCCATGGGCGATTCTCGTCTGAGGGGCTCGAATCCTCTCGACGATGATGATCGATCAGACTGAATTTGTATTAGAACTCAGGCAAGGTCATCACGCGAGAGCCGGCACTAAGAACTGAAACTCCATACAGGTACCCAGAGCGAAGGCAACCTAATTTATGGCTGTCATTCCGTCAAGGATAGTTCGATACACGTCCGAAGATCTCACAGCCCCACTAGTGGATTGAGCAGCGTGAGTAACTCGCGAGATGTTTTCTCCTCGATGTCGATCAGAGACTGGAGGCTCGCATCTGTTATCTGAAGCTCTCAGGAGAACTGTCTCGACGCGTCGAAGCCAGCATGCTTGGGAGCGTGACCGTTTCGGAGAATGCTTGCCCGTCTCCTTGAAGTCTCTCTTTCCTCCCCAGGAAGCATTGGAGTATGAAAACGAGCTGAACGAGGTTTTCCAACGAGCTTTCGAGGAGAAAAGAGCTTCAGCTGGCAGTGCCATGTGTCATGACTGCACTTCCTGTACCTCGTTGTTTGTGCCTAAGAGTAGAGATTCTTCGAAAGGAGCCAAAGGACATAAAAGAGGACACTACAGGTACATATCATACAGATGTATTTTCTTCGCGTTCCGCTTCTGAGCGCCGCGCCGTATGTAATCCGATCGCTGCCCCGATGTCGATCGGAAGTTCTCTGCAGGTCCTTCCGCTGAGCGCCTGCCCTTGTTCTCCCTGGTTCGTGGTTCTCCCTTCTGTTCCTCCCCAGCGGCCGCACCAACGGAAGCTCCCGGGATAGATAGCCTCGCGGCATTAGGCGAGATATTGCAGGCCAAACGCTCAATTTCTTTCATCGCAAATGTAATCCCTGTCATTACCGCAACAGCTATTTATATTGCTTGTTTCCCGTCGCATTGTCGTTTCGCCGCTCGAGCTCTGTTCGGCGCAAAAAATGATCGGCTGGTATTCGACGACGTGTGGAGTCAAGCTCGAGTCCTGGAATCGATTCTCACGATTCGAGCACCGTGCTGTCGCGGATCCCACGTGGATGTTCGATTTCGCGCTCTAAAACCCAGGGGAGAGGGCTGCAGAAGGTCAGCATCTCACCCCCTCTCCCGGGACGAGCGTCGATGGCGGGAAATAGGTGGGAAATCTCTTCTCGTCGGTATTTTCACTGGGTTCGCCATCGTGTCAGAGAAATTCTATGGCAAGCAGGTCTCTTGGGCATTGAGAGCCTGGCTCCGGAGCATACGATGTGAAGTAACTGAGCATAGAAGGGACTCGCCAATAAGAATGCACTCCGCCCGGCTATCCGGCACACTGGCCTCATTAGCAGGACCAATAATTTCGGAGTAGAGAACCCTAGTGGTCGCCTTGTCGATTTCTCTCTTCGTGCCTGTCGGACCAGCGTTGTGCGTTGCTTTAATTACACTGGAACACGGTCGCCGAAAGTACAACAAACTTTGACCACACATTCGAGTATTCCCTCCTGATATTCCCTCGAAGGAGATGGTTAACGAGCGAGAGGAGCGCATTCCGGTTTGGGATTTCCTCGCGAACTCCTCTCCAGAAGATTCGCGACTGTACTGATGCATGGGTCAGATGAGCTCACTCCGATAGAGCCACCTGGGCATTATTCCTATAGCGAGCAGAGCCTCCTTTACTGGTGATTCGAGTGCTGAGAGAATTTCTCGTTCTTCCTTTCCAGGAGCATCAGTGGCCTGACTACGAATTCCCCTACCACAGTTCAAACGGATAACTTCTCGGAATCGATAGTGTGATCTGCCGATTTCTGCAACCCGTGAATGCTTCCAATTTCGGAAGTCTGACGTCAGACTAGAAGTCTGACGTCATCAGTCGCAGTGAGAATGACTCATGAGAGTCCCGACTCCCGGGAAGACAAAGCTTCGCGCCGATGTTTCTCTGGAATCCCTCGGGGGCTCTGCTCGGATCCGTATCAAGCTGAATGGAGCTGCCTAGAAAGGGCTCAACCGACTTGAAACTGAGATGGAGTCCGAAGCAAATTTTTGTACATGCTCTGATGTGAGGACGGGAGTGAACATATGTAGATGTAAAAATACCTATTCGAATATCGCTCTGGCTATATTTTTTATGACGGAATACTCATAGGTTCCCGGGCGGATCGTTACGATTGTCGACGATTCCCCTGCCAAATCGTTGTGAATGCCCAAATGACTCGCGGAACGAACTCAATTCGCCTGTGTGTTGCGAGCCGAATAAACATTGCTATCGCTATTCTCGATCTTTCAACGGATATTCATGCCGATCCATCGATATTCCCTGGCCAGTGTGAGCTCCCGTTGGAACACTCTCTCACCATGTTAAATCGATAAGGACCCCGGATGCTCGAAGCTTGTTGTGTCTACGGACGTCGAACCTACCACATCGACTCCGAAACCGTAATAGCACACGGAAGTCGGGGAAGCGGAAAAAACCTTTGAGAGCATCCGTCACGGCTGGGGCGCATAACTAGGAGCTGTCAACTCTCGCGTGCTATTGAACGAGGACGAAAGAACCCAGCAACGAGTCGGTCGGAGAGATTCATGAGCTGTTCCAGGCACTTGCGCCTGCTGTTCCCCCTCTCGCTAGGAATACAAAAGGGGAGAGCAGGGGTACCTGGGGCCCTCCCCACGGTCTCCCTTGATGATGCTTCTGCGTCACGACTCCTGCTGCTTGCTCACCCGCTGATCAACCAGTGGTAAGGCGCCCACCGATGCCTGATAAATAAAATACGACAAGGACTTGCCAGCTCAGGGAGACATACACAGGTGAATCCTCTCAACGTATTTACCGCCTTCTGCCTACGTCAGAATATTCCTGCATAAGCCATCTCCGACATGCATGAAGACTCTTGTTCCTCTAACCACTCGAATCACGTCGAATCTTCTCCTGACGCAACTCGTCCTAGGTCACACGGAATCGGAGGAAGTTCGGAGGGGACTTCAGCTCGATTTCGTCGTCACTCTAGCAGGGTTCTATTGCGCGGGGATAGGGTTCAAGGAAGAGCCAGAGGAAAATGCAACTGGCCCAATCGCCCTTCCCGTCCCCATGTATGAGCCCCCAGGCACTGAAAGGGGTCGGAAGTTCCTCGGACGCTCCGTTGAATGCGACTCGGGTGCACCGATTCTGAATAGGACTCCTGCTCACATTGGGACCGGGAGCGCACTGGTTGACAAAAAGCCAGGCTCACGTGCATTTGTGTACCGGACTATTCTGAGCGGTACCGACTAGAGCGTCGGAGTCGCTCTGGGCTCAAGGACTCGTTCGAGAATCCTGTAGCTCCATACGATGGGGCGTGTTCAGCTCCGCTTGCATGGATTCATCATAGTGCCAGGTCGGGTCTCCCTGAAAGTGATGAGGCGTACTCCACACAATGCCCCCGAGCCAATCTGAGACATTTTCCATGGCTGCCTTCATTGAGAAACTCGAATCTACATGGGAGGCGATTCAGTATTCCGGGCGAACGTTTCCAGATATGCGGAGGAGCGAAAGGCAGAATTTCCCAAGAATCCCTCGAGGGATTTCTGCTGGAGTGCGCAGCATCCGTGGCGCTCTTCTACGAGCAGAACTGATATCATGAGCTACGAAATGCGCTCTCCTGAGCTTCTCGAATCATGTCTGTTCTTCAATATATTGTGCCTAAATTCGATCATTGAGTCGCTAATTGTGATCAAAAAGGGAAGGGCGAACTGAATTCGCAACCACGTTTGTGATCACTGACTAAGAGGGATCTCCTCCGCTCACTTAGTTCTCGCCTGGCTCCTCCAGTGGCCCTCGCCAAGTATCATGAATTATTCGTCAGGAACCTGGTCCTCAGACTCATGAACAGGACACCCGGGCAGCTCAAATTCTCTGAACCGCAAACTTTCCTCTTTCAGTATTATCACCCGGGGCAAAATTATGCATACACTCATTCCCGGTGTTGGGAATGTAGTTTTCATTCCATCGCTAACGGACTCACCTTCTTCTCACTTCCCGAGGAGCTCCAATCGCCTATATATAAGCCAGCACGCAAAGCGGCATTGATTGAAATCAGGTGTTCTCTCCCGACGATCCCTCGCCTAATTCGCGACATCTTGCGGCCCTCACCGATTCGCTATGGAGAATCGACATCGCGACAAAAATCGCGGTGTGATCCTCTTCAACCTCCATGCATGAGAGCCCTCGCGTAGACGGAGCTTCCACGTGATAAGTCTCGCAATCAGGGCTTCTTAGCCTTGTTTTCAAAAGAGATAATATCGATATCCAGAGCCTCGATTACGAGCGCCCCAGTATGTGCGACATCCCTCGTCTGAAGAAACCTTGGACGCGAGGTGTCCCATTCCTCGTGCGCGAGACTTTTTTCAATCGAGAGCTCTCTATACCCGGAGTAGTTCGACTGTATGGGCAGACCCACTCACATGAGAATTTCCACACACGAAACGTTTTTCGAACGTAGGGTCGCGAGATAGGATAAGGATGGATAGTGATAGCCCCTGGATGAGGAACTCCACATCCGAAGGAGCGCCCTAGGGTGAGTCTCGTGGCATTTGGCCACACGAGTCCCTTGAGAGATTCCGAGTGATATCATAGCAGAAGTGCAATCGTTGATCCGGATACTCTCATGTGGAGGAGGCTCAAGGGAACTGAGGAAATGAGCCTTGACTAACAAGAGGTGTCAGGCAGCATCGATCCAATTCCCTGGGAGAGCGCTTTGATGGTCCTCCGGACTCCGCCATCTCTTCTTTAGAGACGCCGGGGGAAACCCCCAGTAAGAGGAGAGGAACGACCGATATCCAGAAAAGATGAGCTTCACAATATTCTACCCAGGAGTTTTTTATTCATTCTTATCGATGCAATCAGCTAGAGGCAATCAGAAGAACAGTAAAGTAGAATGATTTCTTCCTGAATAACCTCATCCGACGTGGAGGCATGCCGGAATGGCGCTCACAAATCTCTTTCTCAATCGAGAATCTACATAGAACGCTAACCAGTTGAAGATCGATCAATTGGAATCAGTGTGGAGAATGATGATTTTCTGAAGAGATCGATAGTCGGGTTTCATACTCGGAATAGAGAGTTACAGACGGTTCAGTTGAAAGTGCTTTTCAAGAATTATTCACTCCTTCCATGATAGTCGTCATGCCCCATTTATAAACCACAATAGGTGATGCCTAGGAACCGATCGAATCGGTGGAAATATTGAATGATCGCTTGATTATTCGACCGCAAGATTTACAAATGCCCGTATATTGTACAAAACGGTCCTCGACACACTTTTTCTCTGATGAGGAATTACCGGAAAGTCTCCTCTTTTGCTTCTTTTTTTTTCAATAAATAAAACCGAACAACCGGCAACGACTACCGTTGATCGAATGTATGGGCTCGAGAGAGTTCGATGCTCAATAATAATTGTCGAAGTGTGCATCAGTCCTATCCACAAAGGCTAAGAAAGTATTACATTCGTGGAATGTGCTCAATTCGTATTTTTCTTGAAAGATACTCGCGACGATGGCGAGGATCGGTGAGGAATTATTATAAAAAGGATTATCGATATGAGCGGATTCCACAGATGTAGGTCACGTCACCCACGCTACCTATAAAGGTCTCGATGCAATGACTGGCGATGATACCCAATGATGACGGGGTGCAAAGAGAAACGAACTTGTCAAGATGGAAATCACTCTCAATAAGTACACAGCTACTCGCGACCAAATATCTCGGAATTACTTTGGCATATCGGAACCGATTCGTTTCGAGGGATGATGTTCGAGTTACTGTCGAGAACACCGACGAACAACTTGCGCAAGCCCTCGAGGTCTTCTTCCCAGCGGCCGCGTTGATCTGCAGCACGATTTACGCGCCTAGATCAGGCTTAGCCCACCCGTTGACTTCGACTGAGCTCCCTCAATCGTGACAATCTTCGAAGCGATCGAGGTTTTCTTCAATCGATGATGTGAACGAAAATTCGCCGCCGGTTGCAACAGATAGATCGCTAGAAGTTGTAGATGATGTTAGACAACGGCTCAGAAACTGAAGAGCATTGAACGGTAGGGATCCGCGTCCCGCAATCAAGCGACACCCCTATCACATGGAATGGGAACTGTTCCGGAAGTGTAGCAAAATAAGGAGCTGAGCATGATTCTCACCTCAGAGATGAGCTGTCTACGGGGAACGCGAATATTTTCGAAATGCATGGTTTATTCTTCCAAATCCAGGCCACGTAGATGGCATCGCTGCCTCTGGCTCGGCCGAGATAACGGATGCTGCGGGCGTGCAATGTTTCCACCAACCGAAGGTCATTGTGGCTTCCGGACGGCATAACCATACACACCTGCATGAAACATATTGATTGTGTGTCCAGGAGTGTTCCTCGCAGCATCAGAAACTTATTCCAGGTTAAATATAAACATGTAAATGAATTTTTCACGACGATTCTGATCCAGAGGTCTCCGTACCTGGATGTGATCGTCGTCACAAACGAAGAGGGACCTTTGGCACATTTCGAGGTTAAGGATCGAGCTTCCAAGGTTGATATCGCCGACACGGTTCCGGCGCCCTTGAGCATTGACGAAGAAGCCGATAGCTGCAAGGAACAATCGATGAATGCCAAATCCGAATCTTCGCGGACGAATCCAAAGACATGGTGGGAAGCATTGTCCATCGAATGCATAAGCAAGTTTTTGTGTGAACGAAATCGGGGTGCTCACCGCTGCAGGCGATCAAATATTCGGTCTGGGGTTCCACCTCGAGGATGTAATAAGGTCCCTTGAAAGCAGTCGGGAACAATCCCAGAGACTCATCGGAGGCGTCGAGGAATTCGCGGACCTGGAGAAGCATCACGCGTCTCATATAGAGTCAAGCAACAAGGAACTTCCGCAAGGACCTTCCGAGGTTAAACTGAAACTCTAACTCCACGGAATTTGAGAGGAATTAATGAACTCACCTCATAGGTTCGCATGTCCATGGCGTACACCTTGTCGCTGCTGAAGATGACGGAGAACGGAGTCAACTGGATTGACGAACACAAGGTTTCCGTCTCGAATTTCTTCTCAACTTCATAGAGCAGCGTCTCGGCTCTGTAGCGCAGCACAATAAGCGCTTCAGAATTGCTCACAACGAGAAGGCTCCCGTCCCGACTCACTCGGAACATAGAACAGTTCTCCAGACCGTGAGCTCTATGAGCATGACCGTTCGAAAGGCCGACGGGCAGGAGGCTCACGGGAGGTAGGTCGACGTCCCCTTCGCACTGAATGTGGTCTCTGAAGTCGGACTTCCGACACCAGACCAACTCATGCTTCCGAGAATCTAGAAAAAGCAAAAACTATCATCAGCGTCGCGATCATCATACTTTTTAAGGAGGTTCATACCTCGGAGAAACTATTGTGATCACTGTGTCTGGTGATTCGGCAATGCCGACGGTTCTCGAACTCACCAACGATCATGATAGCCTTGTTGAAGTTGTCGATGAGCTGAATCTGGAAAACCGCCGGTACACCCGGAATCGTCCTGCGAACCTTCTTCTGCCTGGCATCAACAACATGGAGTCCCTCAGCTCCGCCAACGAGCAATAAGCTCTCATCGATTTCCCACAGACAATACATGGGACTGTCTCGGATATCGGCTATTTTCCGCGTCACGCTCTTGCTCTGAGGAAAGATCAACGACCATTCATTCATTTATTCCTCCAGATTCAGAGACACTACGAGTCCCGGAGATTCGGGAGCCATACGAATCCAAAACATGAGCGTGTCTCAACACGTCGTTGATGCTTGTGCGTGAACTTCCACAACTTACACCGCGCGAATGTTTCTCGATGGTGTCTTGCAGGGCGTTGTACCAGAGACGTTTCTCGCCCACACCCGAAAACATCATATACAAAGGTCGTTTTTCTTGTTCGCGATTGTGCACAACCAGCTTGAGAACGTAATCAGTGTTGACTCCTTCACGGAGTTCTGATTTGAAAACATCTCGATCGATGTAGATATGCGTGTTTCCGTCGCCAACGAGGTTGTACCTGGGAAAGTCGCACAGAAGTTTTTAACACGAATAATTCCTCCCATCCGCTGGCCGGATTAGCCGCTCCCCTCTCCGCCAATTCGGATGGCTGCTACGCATAGTGTCAATAGGGGGGTGGGATTTGGAAAGTGTAGACATAAGGGTGACAGTTGGAAATTACCGATCGACAGCCTCGATGTTGTTGCCTCCTGGGGTGAAATTCTTATCGAATAAGTACAGAATACCATCGTCAAGAACCATATAGGCTTTCTCCCATCCGAACTTTGGACTCCCGTTCCTAAAATCGAGAAGATCCATTAAATGCTGCGATATTTTCTGGTTTCCCAAGCATGGAGACTTCTGTGCACAGGAAGTTCCCGGCTCGCTGGACGGAAACGCTAATCGAGGTAATCGAATCTTACTTTGGTATCTTGACGTAGCCCTCCGGTCTCTCGGCGTTGAACGAAACTTCTTTTGTATCCTTCGCGAACTTGACGCTGGTCATTTTTTCATAGAGACGAAGGTGCTCTCGCGTCAGACCGCAGACCGGTGGCGCCTTTTGGCTGCACGATACGTGGAAGGCATGGTCACACTCTTGGCACCTGCAATCCCGAGCGAGAGAACCCCATTGGTAAGATCGGTCCTTGCGGGGATTTGAAAATTGAGCAGAATGTAGCAGTCAACGAACTCACGTGGCAATTTTCGTGCCCATCAGCACAGAGCGAGAGCACAAATCGCACTTCTTGTTGGAATACGCCATGGAATGGTGGAGCTTATGCGGGATGTTGTGGGATATGCGGTTGGTTGGACCTTGGAAGGGTCCGGTGTGTTGCTGCAAGGCTTGATTGGAGGCTGGCGATTTCGTCAATTCTTCCACGGCTCGCAATTGATGAGGAGAGCAGAGGTTGACCTGTGAGATCGGATGAGACGCGTCAGTGGATTCCGAGCGCTTGTCCCCAGGAGCTTCGGCTATGAGCAAGTCTATCGCTCACGAACTTACCGCATTTGTCGTGTTCACAGGCTCCTGATGACTGGAGTCACTGAGACTCGAGCTCGCGCTATCGTGGTAGTTGAGCGATGCGGTTTGCTGCGCCTTCTTCTCGTTTCGTTCCTGCTCTCTCACGAGCCGGCGTTCGACTTCACTGAGTTTCTTTTGGAGCTCCATAACTTCTTGGCGGGAACTTTCGAGTTCTTGTTGTAATTTGCGGATCTTGCTGGTGTATTCTTTGTCCCTCGGACCGTGTCGGTCTTTCTCTTCCTTGCTCTTCCCACCGAAGCCGAACAGGCTCTTCTTGGTGTTCGCTTTGGCCAGTTGTTCTTTGAGGAACTCGACGCACTAGGAGGAATAGGGGTGACGTGAGCAAACCCGAATTCAGCACTGAGCCCAGGAAAATATGCTCCGTATATGTAAATATATACCTTCTCGTATTGCTGTAGCTGTTTGGTGAGTCTCAAAACAGCGTAGCTGTGTTCGCTCTGCTGTTTCTTCATCTGCGCCATGATACATCTATTCCTCTCCTCCTCTTCTTCGGCCTGAGGGAAGACAGAATTCGCGTGCTTGGCTTTAATTGCGGACGACAGTCGTCGCTCTTACCAGGGGTCGTTGAGGCAAGCCAGGGTTCGCCATCGATCGCACTCGCGAAAAACCTCACCTTTATATTGGTGTCTTCGAGCTGCTCGTTGAGTTGTACCATATTCCGATTCAGGGAATTGATCATCGTTATGTGTTTCGAGGTTTCACGTTTCAAGCTTAGAACTTCTTCGTGGAGGCCGTCGATTGTCCTCAACTTCGCCTTGAGCTCAGCCTGAGCGAAGGAGATCTGTTCTTCGAACTGTTCCTTGCTGCGTAGAGCTTCGAACAGTTTCTCCTGTTCCTCGCGAAGAGCGTCCTTCAAGTCGATTATCGTAGACTCGCGGTTAGCGAGGGTCGACCGGGCTTCATCTAAAAGCTGGGCTTGGTTTTCCAGGGACGAATTCTCGCTACGGAGTTTCGCCACAAGCTCCCGAAGGGTGACGATTTCACTGCAATGTGTAGAGGGATTTCTAGACTACTTCTTGCCTCCGACGAGTCCCAGAGCGGAGCAATCGGGAGAAAATTGAGGAACGGCCCGTCCAATGATCTGTACTTACGCTTTGTTCTGCTCGGCTTCGTCATTGAGACCGTTCATGAGCTCACCGACGGACTTGAATTCGGTTTTCCATTCTTCGTTCTGGATAGTGACCTGCAACAAGATCCTTGAATGACACACAAGAAAAATCATCGGATCGTAAGTCTCTCGAAAAGCTCTCGGAAACCTTTACGCCACCTTCTTCAGCTCCTTCTTGCAATCCTCCAACTGCTTCTGAGCATCGACTTTCCTACGGTTCGCCATCTCAGCCTCTTTCTCGAGCATCTTGCATCTGAGGCCAGCTTCTTTGAGTTGGTCGGAGAACGAAGCGAGTTGTTGTTGGAGATCCTGTGAATAATTTTAATCCGTGAAGTGAATAATTGAGAAATGAGCCCCCGGGCGGTAACTAGGAAACTTGACTGCGCCGAGAATTCCGTCCTTCCTTACACTCTGTGTGCTCGTGGTGTCTTGCAGCATTCGGAGGCGTTCCTGGAGTTTCGCCTGCTCTGTCTCAGCCGCCAACTCCTTCTGTTGAGCCAGATCCTTTGTGGACTGCAGCTCTTCCTCGAGCTCAGCGAGCCTTGATTTGAACGTCTCCGCCGCCGCAAGTTGCTCCTTGAGGGCTTTTTCGGTTTCAAGAGTCTGACCTCTGATTTTTTCATTGGTTTCCGAAGCGCTCTTGAAGTTTTTGATCTCGCGATTGGCGATTCGGAGGTCGAGCTGGAGCTCCTTGATTTGCTCGTTGCGTTTCCGCAATTCGACCGAAGTGTCAAGCCACCTGGAAAAAACGTGGCGCTCAAATAGAATTAAATCAAACACGAGTACCCATGGGCATCTATGGGAAGAACCTCGATCATGTAAATCAAGTCAGCAGGATCGCGGCCCCGGACTAACCTCTTCTTATTTATTTCTTGGTCCTCGCGAGCTTTCTCGAGATCTTTGCGGAGAGCCTCGTTCTCTTCCGCGCATTTGCAAAGGCAGCTGTCCACTGTGTAGAACGAAGAGTTCGTCCCGATGGACAGCCTCTGCTTCTTCTCGTCGTCCGTCAGGATGGTCACACTGCAGAATTTTTGAGATAACTTCTCAGCTTCTAGTCATTCCAAATCTGATGAGTCATCTCTAGTCGAGAGGGGCTCCGCAACAACACGATTTGTGAAAGTAAGCCGATGACATACCTGTTACGATTGTCATCGACGTGATTCTCCAGATTGACCGTGAAATCGGCAATCTCGCTGAATCGGACTTTCCTGCCATCTTGAACGTCGCCATTCACGCCCACGACATTTTCGGGCCTCTGTCGTTCATTATCGAGAGTTGAGGCCAGCTGTGACTTCAAAGCCTCGATCTGTTTCTCGAGAGTGGCGCACGAGACGCAAGGTGCAGCGGCTTCATTGGTTCTGCGAATCTCCGTGGCTTCAAGTTGTGACACCTGTTCTGCGAGTTCAACAACCTGAACTTCCAGCCTTGTGTTCGTCTCCTGGGCTCCTTGGAGTTTCATGCGCAGCTCGGCACACTCTGCAGCCAAGTCACTTGGCCCCTCGAATTCAGACAGATCGCTGTGACTCAACTCAGTTTCGAGCTCTTGCACGCGGACTTCGAGCGTCTTGACCTGAAGAACGAAATTAAGTTCTATATCGTTCATATTGTCACAAATTGTCCTCGAATTCTATCGTTTATACGAGGCACGGGAGAGACGCTCAAGGGGTATGTTCAAAAGTCTCAACGCCAACTGACCTTGATCTTCAGCTCTCTATTGGTATCCTGTAGTTCTTTGAGCCGGTTGACGTACTCTTCACAAAGTTGACGAGCATTCGCCAAGTTATTTTCCACAACGCGTTTAGAATTAACGGCTTCAGTGAGATCTTTCTTCAGTCCTTCAACGTATGCAAGGTTGCCGACTTGGATTTCCTGGAGGCGTTCCACGCACTTCTGGCTGTCGGAGAAAATCTGCAACAAGGGGAACGAAGCTTGACGATCTGCTGGGGGAGTTCACTCCGACTTCTCGTGCGAGGATTACAAACAAGCAACTTAGGACAAGTCTGCTCGATTCCGCAGACTTCTCTCGTGATTCAATAATAGTAAACTAACAGTGTGGAACTTCTCCTTGTAGTCCCTGGCAAGGGTTCGGGATTTCTGCAACTCCTTCGTCAAATCCTCGATCGTTTTCTGCTGTTCCAGGATCTGGTGCGGTAGATCGAATAGTCTCGATTGATTCTTGTCGTTAAGCGGGCTGTCTGGCGCCGTCAAACTCCATTTGATGAGTTCGTCGGAGCGCTTGTACTGCCTTTGGTAACCTTTGACGATTTCAATGGCTTTCTGCTCGCTGCGTTTCCTTAGCAGAGTTTCTTGTTGGCATTTCTCCTCTAACTTCTTGAGCTCGGTGTCCCTCTCGATCATGCAGCGTTCGAGAGCGCTCAGTTCATCTTGGAATTTGGCTGTAATTCAGAAGAAAATCACCCATTTGTTTCTCAACCGGCGATTTCCGGAACTCTGCTCCCCATGGATCACCATTGTCCAGGTTGCATTTTTTTCTCGCCCGGGGCACATTTTGCTCATTTGCCAAAGGATGCGCATGATTCGCACTAATCACCTGTTCTCGCTTCGGATTCCTTCAAACGAGACTTCAGACCCTCGTTCGCGTCTTTGAGCTGACTTTCACTGGCTTGCACGAGCGCTAGCTTTTCCTGAAGTTCTTTCCGCCTGGTATCGTCATTCTTGCGGAGAGTACCCGAGAAAGCCATCGCGGCGGTCTGTCCCTCGACCGACGGATCCATAGTGTGCTGTTCCGCTTCGAGGGTGTGGGTGAATCCCACGAAGGGCAGATTGGCAGTTTCGAACTCCTTTTTCTGCAGAGACCGTAAGTAGGCGCGACTCGATGCCCGTGATTCTTCTTCAAAATCATCAAAATTCGAGGTATCGTCGAGCCCAGTCAGTTGGGGAACGAAAGGTGGAACCATTGAACGCAGATTCGACCAGAAGGTCCCTTCGAAAAACTTGTGCTCCAAGAGACCTTTGTAATCGAGTCGTTTGTCCGAGTGCTCAAGCAACGCTGTGATAAGAGCCACTGCTGGAGGACTCACGACGAAATCGGTCGGGAAAGCGAGGGTTTTTTTGAAGTTTATGATGTTGGAGTATGTTTTCATGACTCGTTCGTCGCTGAACGGGGTCTGACCGTAAAGCATTTCGTAGGCTACGATACCCAGCGACCACCAATCGCAGCATGTCCCGTAGGTTTGCCCGGAAGTGCCGCGCTCGTTCATCGCCTGCAACACCTCGGGGGCGATGTAGTCAGGTGTTCCGACCGGCATCTTAGAAGTTACGTCTTTCTTGGACGACAGCCTCGCGGCTGAACCAAAATCCGCTAATTTTATATGGCCTCGGCGATCAATGAGAATGTTGTCCGGTTTGATATCGCGATGGACGTATCCCATTGAGTGGAGTGTGTTGATGGCCTGAACGAGTTCCGCCAGGTAAAATCGCGCATGGTCCTCGCTCAGAATGTTGTCGTTCCGATCGAGCAGAGATAAGAGGTCCCCGCCGGGCAGGAACTCCATCACAAGATAAAGATTGTCTGCGTCCTGAAATGGGAAAGAAAATCTTGAACATTGCCCCCTCGAAACACAATTGGACAGATTTGCCAAGGGGCTGCATGCCCGAGACAGATAAGACCATTCCACTGGGACCGACCTGGTAGGCGTAATGGAGTTTTGTGATCCACTTGGTGTCCTGGGCTTGCGCCATTATATCACGCTCCTCTTCGTAGAAGGCAACAGCCTGCTGGCTTAGGGTTTCAATCTTGCGCAAGGTTTTCATGGCAAACACTTCACCGGTGGCTTTTTCTTTCACAACTTTCACCTCACCGAAGTGACCCCTGCCAATGACTTTCTTCACCTCGAAGTCAGAGATTGAAACCCGCAGAGTACGCAGGTCCGTGATCGGCTGTCGATCTGCGCGATTCGAGGAAAAAAGAGAACATTTCAATACGGTACATGAAGGGCATTCTTTCATAGCGTAGTCTCCGACCTCGACTCTCCTTCCAATCATCGATGAATTACTTACACTTTTCGAGGAATTTCTGTACATTCTTATCCTTTCGCATGCTGTCATTATTGAGCTCTTCGTACAGGACGAACAAAGCGTCCAGAAGCGAGTCTCTGGAATACGCAAAAGATTTGATCTCCCCCGCAAGCTGTGAGGATGCGCTATCGGGGACTCGATTTTTTTTTGATTCCTTCTCCATTCTCTCACGGAATTCCTGAACTCGGAGCTTTACCTGTTGAATAAGTTTTTCAAATTGTTGTCGTCGATCGTGGCGCTTTTGCCGAGCACAAAGTTGTTGATGCGAGCCGATCTCACCGCGATTGGTTCCCTCCGGCCCGGAGAACCCGCTGCTGAAACTGTCGAGCTGGCCATTCTGTGAGGAGGGGTGACTTTTAGTATCCCCGCATTTTGAGCAAGCGTGTTGGAGTTTCAATCCAAACTAATACTATTTCGTCTTGACGTTTGCGTAGGATGGTTTGAGATTCCATTCCTCAAAGCAATTTCCGCGGTCGTTCGGCTCCAACCAGGTACGCGAAGCCTCTCTACGTGGGTATTGCAAAGCGACTGGTAGATAATAAATGCGATGAAGCTGACACCGATCTCAGTTGGTTTACCAAGACGAGGCTCATGGAAAAAAAGTCGCAGTCTTCATACTTGGCTCCGGGAAAACCATTCCCGAATAAACCACGAGCTAACTAAGAGCGAGGAATCATTGCCTCGGGTGCCGAAGCACCTCCCCCTGGCTGTCATGCAATCGCTGAACCTCTCTCGATGGAAACGTTGAAGGATTCTGCTACTCATCTCATTGGGCTAGTGTAACCCCCAAGGAGCAAGAGCAGGATCATTCGTGGAGGGATTCGATGCGGCAACGGTTCATGTGCGCTGATCAGAGCCCTTGAAGCAAGCGCTCTCGTGCTCACTATACATTCCAGGGTGTACGTTGCGTAGAAAAACTCCATATGGGCGTGATACCTCAGTGTCGGTCCTGCCTATATTTTCAGAGATTCTTCGCGACAAGAGCATTTCGAGAATTTCGACTCCATGCTAGAGCCAGCCATAATGCATTATCCCAATGGATGTGCTGCCGGATTCTGCCGTCAGGTTCCCGACACCGACGGCGAAAACTCATGGCTTTCTGGAGGATCCATGGAGACCGCCGTCGCGAAAGTCGCGATTATCCGCACATCTGTAACCGCTCAGACGACTGTCACTCTAATTCGCGATCCTTGTGGGCTTCCGGGCACTCACACATGACCGAATCCCGCATCGAATCTTGGTCACCGACGCTGCAATGACGTGTTCCCTCGTCTCGTCCACTCGAGATGCCACCATGCGGCACAAACCAATACGGTCAAGCGTTCCGAACTCGAGCCTAGAGATAACTCACGCAGCATAATTCCGATCGGAGGTGGTTTCCCGATTTCCTAGAAATTAAAATCACGCCGCGAGAATGTTCACTCCAGCGTCGCCGATCATAAGCGAGCCTGACAACGACAGAGCTCCCGATCTTCCGGATTATTGTTTCTCAGGACAACTAGAATTTGAGTTTTTTTCAAGGCATACTCGTGTTCGACATCCCTCGGAATCGGATTACCGTACCCAGGTGTCGACGAGCACCACGAATGTCTCCGGTGATAGGAAACAGCGCAAAGGCACGTTCTCTGCGGCGTTGCGTATAGAGGAGCGATGCGTCATAGGCTCAGATGACACTCGTTTTCTCACAAGCCGGAGTTGACTCGACGATTCGAATGCCATTTCCTGTTATACGCGTTTCAAAAATCACAATTCGAAAACATTTGTCTTCGACTTAGTTCTCACGCCATGCATGCAGGGACGGTCACCATCGATTGCCGGAATGAATCCGACAATAGCTCCGGATGGGATTTCGTAAATGTAATGTTTCTCCGTCGGATGATATCGGATGTGAATTCGTGAAAACATCGTTTGATTTCTGTCGCTGCTGGATTGTAGTCTCCGACAGTGGCAGTCGGACAGACACACACAGTCAGACCACTAGACAGACAGACACAATGATGGCGGTGACCCGAGACGAGCTAAGACAACGGCCCGCAGTCCGGCCGCGACGATTTTTCTCTGTCATCCAACGGGAAGCCCTTCCAACGACTGCGTCTCGATTTGGAACTCCCTGAAGCGGTCATTCAGAGCTCACTTCAACAAATTCAATGCCCCGAAGACATGTATCTCGGTTGTAGCGAAAGAGCTCCAAGAGAGATGCTCAGGATCATGCTCGGGGTGAGGAAGCTCAACAAGTGGAAGGAGCGGACGGCCTTATCCCCGTCTACGACAGCCAAGAGCTCTTAAGTCGCTCTGACTAAACGTCGGTCTCGAAAAGTAACCCGGATGACCGAAAGCTCTTTCTAGGAACGTAGTTCGCGGTCGACACAGCGGTTCTTTGACAAGAGAAAATCTCACTTGTGGAGCGGTACGGCTCCGTTGCCGTTCGGAATCGCCGATCTCCCAGCAAAACCCACATATCGAGAGACAAAATCACTTACGAGCAAAAGCAGATCACCTATGTCCCTGAATTTTCTTTGTAAGCATCTCTTGAGACGTGACAGTCTTACAGTCTTCTCGAGAACGAGTTCACAACTGGAGCTCCGGACCCGTTCAACGGATGGTTTGGGCGTTGCTTCGTCCAAATTTTGTCCGTGCTCGGTCGGAACTGTCGCTCGGGACGATTCCACGAAGACCTCAGGATCCTCACGAGACGGTTGTCATTCAAAATGATCAGGCACGACAAATGAAACTGTTCTCGCTCCTGCCAGCAGCGAAACCGCGGAGCAGTGTTTGTTGTCGCCGACGTCGGCGATCACAATTTTTTGTTTCTCGTACTGTGCCGCCGCTGCCACTTGGTAACTGATGTGAGAACAACAGACGATTTCCCCCTTGCCGTAACTCGTACTGCGGCGATTCGCAACTCACTTTCACATGAAGTCCAGCCGGGAACTCCTGGATGGATTCCGCTCAGTCGCACTTATTTCCAACACACATTTCAGAAACTTCTTCAGAAAACCTGTTATCCCTCCCGTGAACAATTTCAAACTCGATGATCTTTCCGCCCGATCCGAGCGCCGTGAAGCGGCAGCGGCGGGTGCTCCAGCCCTCCGGCCGGAGGACTTGAATTCAGTGGGGGTAAAAGTTATTTCCGTGTCAAAATCTTCCGCTTCAAGCTTCCCCCTCAACTGAGAGCAACTTATCGGCCCCTTCGTTATGATCGGCTCCCCCATATCCGAGAGGCAAAATCTTTCTTGAAGAACGCATCGAGTCCAATATGGCGTCGCCCATCATTCCCCGACTACACACCGGACAATGTATTGTTAAGAGCTAGCAGAGCGCAGACTGCGATCTCTACACACGACCGCAACCATGGCAGGTCTCGCGCAGTACAGTCGAGCATTGCTTTTGCGAAGTCAAGCCAATCCCGCTTTTGTTCAGGTCAGCTGTTTTAGGAAACGACACTCTGTTCGGATGCTGCGGGAGGGAATTCGGTCGCAGCCGGCTCCGAGACGAGTCAGCGCGAGAATGGAAAGTCTAACTAAGCAGGCTCGCTTCGTTTCATTGCAGAGTGTCCGTACCGGGGTTTCTTATAAAGCGATGTTGACGAAGAAAGAGTACTACGATGCAGACAAGTTGGATGACGGCACAACAGTGCAAGCTATTCTGAATTCGATGGCGGATCGAGGGTAATACTGCGCTCCAAGTCCTTCCGATTGTTATTATTCATTATTATGTCTCCCTTCACCCTCTACGGACAGTTGAAATTGAGTCACGGACTCTGCTGAGATCAGACGCGGCGCTGAATGAGTTTCCCACTCTCTAAAAATGGTCTGCGATTTCATTCATGAGCAGCCAAACTGAATCGTTCGATCGCCTCGTTTGGGTTCCAGGTTCTGTAGACCTCAACGGCCCTATTCGCCCCCGGAGGATCTCCAAGAGCGCCTGAAGAAAATCATCGAGAAGCACATGCCGCAGGAGAAACGGGCCGATCTATGGGAGGCGAAACTTTCGCAACCCACCAAAGTACGCTTTCTGGCGGAATGCGTGCGAGAGTTCGACCACGATATTCCAAACTACGAAATCGCTAGTTTGAAGACGGCGCGTAACGTTCTCGAATACTTCTCGAAGGAAGTCGATGGCCTGAATTCCTACGACAGGCTGGTAGCCCGGCAAGATAAACCCGACAATCTCCACGTCTTGGAAAATTATGTCCGGTTCCATCCTGATCGGGACACAATGTTCAATGGGGTAACCGCATATCCGGGCGCGGGCTGCAAAGTCACTGGACTGCGGACACGAAAGAAATACGATTCTTGGTCCATGGATAGATCATGGCCTTTCGAAGTTCATACGAGCAAACGGAAATAGTAGTCTCGGGTGTTTTGTGTACATGGTTAGTGGATGGTGATGTTGCTTTCTCACTGAGTCGCTTGAATAAACGCTCAATATCGAGTCCGTGGTAGGTTTTTCCGTTCGAGGCTTCCGTCTCAGGGTAGTCTGAAACAGTCTAAAATGAACATCAGCATCGTACCGATACAACGTATACATATATTTATTATACCAACATCGGATAAATATCAATGAATCGATCATCGATCTCTAGATTTTCGTCGTACTGTGTATATGTAGCTTCATATTCCAGCAGGTATTCAAATTGCTCACACATGATTCGTATATGACGATGTTTCATCGTTACAGTAGATACAAGGCCTCGTAGGGACCGTTAAATGACGTCAACATTTGGCTATGGTGACAATAATAAGGAGATGGATTCTCGATGATCAGAACACTTGTGATACTAGGGATTTCGACAGCACACTAACCGTGATAGATGCTCTCTAAATTCATTAATTGGTACGAAAATCGTCAAAGAGTTCCAAAGCTTGGCACAAGGAAGTCAAGATGTTCCAGCATCGAAAGGGAATACGGATACAAATCGGAATACGGATCTTGCACGGGAGCTTATAGGATTGAAAGCAATTTTTTTCCGTGGCTACGTGTCTTCGAGTACGGAATCATAAAAGCGATACTGAATATGCGATACTTTAATCGCGGTCGATTGCGGGAAAAATCGGAGCCGTGTGAGTAGTCGTTCAGGATCGGATCGAGTTTTCCGGCTCGATCATCGCCGAGTTTGGAATTATATACCGGAGCGGTGACCCATGTACATAGGAAATTCAATATTACCCCTCCATGTAAATCGCCTCGTCGTCATCGAGTCACAGGCACAACACATCGAGTTGTTTTTCTTTTACAAGGCCATCCTCAATTCAACTTCTCGCGGAGAACTTCCGTTCAGGGGTGAAGAGAAATCAATAAGATGATGCATCAACGGTGCCAATGGACAAAACCCCGGGTTCAGGTTCCTGTGATGGGGACGCTCCTCGTCGATCACGCCTACCGGAACGTCCGATATCAGCATGTTCGTCGGGTGACTAGAATTATTGCACGCTATGTTCCACGGAAGCATCACATATTGGTACTCTCGATATCAAATCGGAGGTGTTCCCCAGCTCTTGTCGTTCCTTCACATCATGTGCTCGTATTGTTCGTGTAGTACGGCTTGCTCGCTCCGAATCCGGTTGTCGAGTTCAATCAGTTGACTCAGGAAACCATTGTTCGGCCGTACCCCTCGATGCTGCCGAACCTGAGTGAGAGCCTGCTCTACGGTCATCCCCCGCCGCAACATCAGGAAGCCCACGGAAAGGGTTGCAGAACGAGACATACCCATCAGGCAGTGGACGAGGATTTTGCCTGAAAGTCAGGATTATTGAGAGTCAACGAAACCGAAATGATGCGGAAGTCCCGCTTCGCTCGAAAACATGAAACTCTCGTCGCTAGGACCCAATTATTTTAATTATGATGGGTTGGCCGAGGGGGTGGCCCTACAATTTAATCCCCCCCGACTGACGAAACGTCGAGTCGAGCTCCGCTGCGCGAATATTGGGAAATCGGGACGATGATTTGTGGGGAATCGAAGCTCAGATGTTTTCTCGCGGTATCCCGGATAGTTTGCCGGAATTCAGCAGAGTCCCGGTCGTTCATCTCCTGTGAAATCGATTACCAGCACCACGCTCGCCTTAATTATTCTGCTGGGGAGATGGAAGAAGCTATCAGCTAATGATGAGAGGAGAATTACGTTGTATTTTTGGAGAATCTGTCGTGCACCATTATTCCTCTGCTCGATCGGCTCATTAGCATCTTATCTGACGCTCAAGCGACACTTGTTGATGTAGGGCCCTAGATTAGGTCGATCTGAACTTTTCCGCAGAGAAAAGGACAGCGCTTCGTATGGGACTTTGAGCAAAGCCCGCTACGCTCCGCCCCACAGACGGTCGAGTAAAAAGAACTGTTCGGAGTGCACACGAGAACTAACCGTTCTGCAAAAGAGCTCCTTCGATGAAATCTGACGCAGGGTCGAATTGGGAACCCATGTCTGTACTGGCAACATCTTCAAGCATCAGTCCCATGTACCTCAGACCGTGAGGCCGATAGAACTCTGCGGATGTGGACACTTGGCCGAATCCTACACCTTCAGCTGCGTTGAGAACGTGCGTGATGCCCAGGTACTTGAGGTATTCCACGTTCCGCGCGGCCCCCCTGAAAAATTAATCCCTCTCAAATATTCCGCAAAGGACGCTCAGCTGTCCCATGTGCAAGCTGGACGAGTAGGAAACTAGGGCCGTTGGCTATCGGCCACAACACGGCGAGTGTTTCTAGGTTACAGTCAACTCCGCGTCTGCACAATTCCGACCAGGTGAAAAGTCGACATCTGAATTCTCTCGTTGTCGAGCTATTTTCGCTAATGGCTTGCTCCATCCGATACACAGGATGTCCACGTGAAAAAAGTGAATACTCACTCGTCGCCAACGAATACGCCTGGATATACCTCGTCCAGATCTACGCCGAACACGTAACGATCTCGGCCGTCCGCTTTCGCCTTAATATTATGCTTCTTTTCCAAAAACTCGATTCCTGCGAGCCTCGTGGATGGTGGACGCACCTCGTTGAGGATTTGTTGTAGAGCCCTCATTCTGGCGAGAGGGATGAAACAGGGGTTAGGCCAACGTTGAAAAATATATGTACATGATGATGAAAAAGTTTTCAACAATTGTTTTTTCTGCAAAGCGTTTCGATCCGGGTCTTTTGGTCAAGGTCCACATTTTGTGAAGCATGCAGTGGCTTGTGAGGGCTCATTTCGGTGGGTTAGTTGGGATTGAATGGAGTTTCGGGAAGGAAGGAGTGAAGCGATGGCAACAGCTGCCGCTTGAGCGAAGCATTAATTTCGAGCGGAGCAACCTACTTTGGACACACAGCCGAATCGCAGGTCTCCCTAAACCACATATACACGGGCACAACCACATTGTAGAGAAGCCAAGTATGCTTGACGGAATTCCACACCCGGTCCCAGATCACCCCCATGACTCAGCGCGATCCAATGGCTCACGAAGGCGGTTCTCGATGCTGCTCGGGGCGGCGGCACGGCGATTCCCCAGCCGTCGCTGCTTCGTCGGGCGGCCTCCGAGGAGCGCGGAACTTTCTTACATACACTCGCGGCTCCCCAAGCCTAGATCCGGAGCGATTCACACACTCCGTGGACGGTTGACGCAGTAATTGTCCTTTGGTCGGGTTGATGTTTGCCCAGCTCGGCACCTATGCGTGCACTAGTCATACATACAATCAGACGGACGGACGGACGTATTCCTCTGACGGCGGAGGACTCGACTTCAGATAGAGCCGAAGGGACAGATTTCGCACGGAGAGCAAAAGATTCACGACCTCCGCTGACTTCACCGTGTCTTCGTAATTTATCACGGTGATTATTGGGGAGTCACGCTCCTTCACTAGTTCCTCGTTGCTACTACCCGGGTCTCAAGCCGGGAATATTCCAAGGTCGAGTCTTCTTCCTAGGTCTCTTATCGTGACGCGTTTCGCTCGACGTATATCGATAAAAGTTTCTCGTTTCTTTTCACAGATGACGTCATACATACATTTTCGATTCAATATCAGTCGAATGATTAGTGGGTGGATAGATATTCTGGATCGATGGATGATTGACGGATAGATAGGTAGACACTCAGATAGATTGATAGATGGATATATGTATGTATATATATATATATAAATATATATGGATAGATCGATTCTCAGAGGATAAGTCAGGACTTGCTTCGTCACGCTCGATAAGATTGCTGCTTTCTTGGTTGTCGTTGTAGATTGGAGTTGACCAAAATCAGGTAATCAGACTTTCTCACTATGTGTCTCACTAGGGGTCTGTTAAGTATTTTCTCCCGTCACGCCGTCAGAATTTCCGTCGTCCTGTTCTCTTAAATTCCCAAAGAACCAACGAACCGACACGACTTGATACTTGAATCTCTCCTTTCCTGAAAGGAGTACAAACACCTATTTAGAACGGGGTGCGCTGACACTCAAATGAACACAAATGTTATCTAAAGGGGTGAAACTCAGATATTCGTCTCCCGGGACCCTCCAGGTGTCAGAACACGGAGACACGTGTTGCCCTCAAAATTAGAGCCACACCGACGATCGGTGAAACTTCATTCCCGAGGGGAGACCTAACCGGAGGCAAGTGATTCCGAGAATCATGTCAAATTATGAAGGATGATGATTCGGATTCAAGTCACGTTTTCGATGAGAAAAGAGGAAGGGTGCACACCACCATCGAACACACAGGATGCAGACCCTCGAGAAGGGGAAGCAGGGTCGGAGTCTTTCTCTTCAAGAGACGAGCAGTCGACAATAATCATGCACGGAAAGACGATCGACCGTCTGAGGGATCAGATTACGGAATTCAATTCGCTCTCGCGCTGATCTTCGAATCTGGGCCCCTTCTCCACTGACTGATATCAGATGCAGCATCCTGGCAACGAGTTCGTATCTCCTCGTTGAAATATTCAAATGAATTCAGCAGATACTCAATCGTTGAGCTTCCAGAGTCTGGGAAAAATATGAATCGGGAATACCTCACATATGAACTCGTTCTCCGTAATGACGGCGCGGGGTTTCGCTGCGCTGCATATACTCTTGCGCAGGCTCGACTCCGAGCTCGAAGGGGAGCCATCACTGTACTCGGGACCGAAGATTACGCTCGTCTCCCGTCGCGGCAGAAAGCTACGGAGTAAGATCTCGACTCACGAGATCCAGTCGGAAATACGGGAGATAATTTATTCAGGCATGGGACAAGAATCAAAACCGGCACGGGATTCCACCAGCCCTCCCTTCGAGTCTTTTCGCTAGCATCGATCGCTTCCCTTTGCGTTCCCCTTCCGGAAAAAGCACGAGAGGAATCCCAAGCCGGCACGGGCGACCCGATGCTCCCCGCGCTCTTCCCGTTGAGCCTTCGCGACTCGTGAGTGGGATCCGAAAAAAAAACGAATTTACGGCCGGCGATCGTGCTCTTGTCCCCGGGAGAGATCATGGCAAGGACCCGGCCGTGATGGGTTCCCAACTCGATTCATACATACGCATATTATTCCTAAATGCCGAGTCTCTTGGCAGGCGGCGCGCGGCGGCGGAGATAACGACGAAAGCGACGACGACCAAGCGACCTCGGAAATCCTTGCGAGAGGAACAAGCTGAGCTGAACTTCGGACCGCAACATAAAAATATTCTTTTCCCAGAGTCTTCACTTTCCGCTCACCGAGGCTCTCAACAAATGTCGCGGGAGTTTGGTTCTGCTTCTCGCGTTCGTCGAGTCGTCGGCTTCGCTGCGAACTAGAGAACAAACAGATCCCCTCTCGTAGCTTCAACCCCATACAAAACCCACGGAGCCCAAGCAGAGCTCGGAGCCCATTCTAAATAAACATCAGCAATCCGACGAAGGCGGAGCACATACAAAAGAAGGCGAACACATGATGTATGCAGCTCAGCGCTCGTTTCTCGATGACGTTATGGCCGTCGCCCGGTCATACCATACGACCGATCGTTGGACGACGGAAAAAATGGCCACTGCCCGCGTCGAAAGGCACTTGTCTTCATCTCGGTGCAGATGGCGTTTTTGTGCGGCTTAGCCTCCACACCTCGACATGCCCGGAACGAAGGCAGGAGCCGAAAGTCCCTCAGGGCGGCCGTCCGGCCTGCTTTCGTACGATCGCTTCCGCCGTCGCAATAGCCATTGGGACTCAGTCCACGATGCTACATACTATATCATCAGCAGAGGGAAAGAAAAGCAACAGCGCTTGATTTGATGTCGGCGGCTCTAACGAAATCTGCGGAACGAGTTTCTTCCGATCCGCGATCATTGGAGGGATGCTCTGCGCTGCGGCTGCAGAGGGTCGAACATCAGCAGAAGCAGATGAAAGCAAACAGCTTCGACCTCGGCCGGCTGCTCGGCTTGCTAGGGGGCTTGATAAATGGATACATGATACATAGATTGACGAATGTATGGATAGAGGGAACCGATGGCTGCCGTGGGGCCGCCGCTCCGATTGACAGTCTCTGCTGCATCTGCACCCTCGAGTATTGGATATCGTGTTCGCCGTCGTGTCCGTCTTCAGCGAGAGCGAGCGGATGGGGCGCCGGACGATCGAGTCCAGCGGCCCTTGGCAAGCGACTTCCAAGGTAAACATCATAAGAAGACTCAATCGGCTTGAATGTGCTCGATTTCGGCTTGCGAGTATTGCCCGCCACACCATCCAAGTTTTTTTATGCTGCTCGTGCCGGCGACGGAGGGTAATCTCGCCGTTTTTTTTTGTTTATCCCAGTTTCCCTCGAATGATGAATAGCCTCGATGGTATGTTTCGCGCCGCAGGCCACCCACATATGCGTGAGCGAGATTCAATACTCGACCCGTTCGCCAAGTGATGACGCTTTCGCTCGAGACACGCGACGTCACCGCCGACGAATTAAATGGTTCGGTGCAATCAGGTCAGTTAATGCGAATTTCCAGACGGCCGAGCGTGGGTGAGGCTTTTATGAGTATTCCGTGGCCGGGACGAGGTTCCACACTGGAGGTTCGCAGCTGCTCGCAATCGAACCTGCTCCGAATCGCGGCGAAACGCCCGGACAATGAAGAAAAATAAGCGGAGATTCGCAGTGCCGGTCAGGGCCTCGTCAAGACGGTTGGAAATTACTCGATTGGGTTTTCCCTCCGTTCCGATGGATTCCCTCGAGAGAATGACATTTTCGCTCGCCGAGAGTCCCTGACGTAGAGCTCGCCTGCAACAGACTCGCAACCGCAAGGACACGACCTGGAGACGAGCAACTGTTCTGTCTCAAACGAGCACTGACGTCTGTCTGCTTGTCTGCCCAGAGGTCTGGGAGTGATTTCTCGTTTTCCCTAATGAAGTTGCGAACAGAGTTACAGGAATCGGTCTCCGACGGACTCCACCCCGTTTGACGCTGACGATCGACAAGACTTCGTCGCTCAACTGGAGGCAATCTGATATCAATTTCGCTAAAATACTCTCGGAATTGGTCCGGCGACATGGAATCGACTCGTCTCCGGCTCGATCACTCCAGCTCCGCGCCATCGGCGCTTCTCACCGATTCCTATAGACTACTCCTCTCGATTGAGTGAGATTTATGTAATGTCTCAGTCAGTTGACATGCGGCAATGCAGCCAACGAGACTCTACTCCTTGACAGGCAATAAGAAAGCCAAATCCTTTTTGTTCGAAGCCGCGAATTGACACGAAATGAAGCTCCTCGGTCGGTTCCGGGCTCGCTCCCGAGGGCAAAACACATTCCGGAACCTGCGTCCCGAACCGCGGGTTCCCGGGCGCGATGTGATTACTCGGCGCCCCGGCGGGCTCTTCTCCGCACAATTCGCGCGGTGCGTCACTCGCAACATGAACCAGGTGCAAAAGGAAGAGTGGGATTCGTTGCGAAACTCGCACTCGAGCTCCGGAATGGAACATCGTCATAATTCTCGCTCGAGTCTCTGGAGAATGGTCACAGCGAATGTCTTTCCGAGCGAACTGAGAGACTTCTATCGGTGCCGTGTTGGGGCTGCTCGAAGCCATCATTAGCGTCTCGAGTCGTGGTGGTGGTTCGGTCGTAGAAACTAAGGGACGTCGGCTCCGCGAGCTCATTTCCGTTTAACTGAAAACGACAATCATTTTCCTTTTTGCTTTAGAAGGGAAACGAAAATCATTTACCGTTCCCCTCCAATAATTTCCGTTTCTCGTGACGGAAAACGATTTTCGGGGATGTTTTCCCCTTCTCCATGCGAGGAACATCAGCGTAACAAGGTGACGCCGAAACGCTAGAGAAGCTCCTGCCTCAATTCCTGAGGGAGGAAGAACGAATATGATTTACGTTTTCCGTAACGGGAAGCGATAAACTTCAAAACAATTATCTTTTCTCATAACGGAAAACGGGTATTACTTCAGGAATCCGGAAAGATGATCAAAGTTCATACTGCACTCCAATCTTAGATATCTAGACTATCGGGCGGGTGTC